CGTCGCTCTCGTCTCTTGTGAGCAAATATTTTATAAAGTAGCAAGACGCAAACACAGTTATTTCGTCCGTTAGCAGTAGCGCAGCGCGGAAATTTATCCCGATCTCTCGCGCGCCGCTTTTGTGGACGCAAACTCTTCCGTAATGAGTTCGGCGATCTGCGAGAGAACGTATTCACGCAGTTACGAGAACTGAATTTTGTTCTCTTCTTTTTACGGAAAGAACGCGATGTAGTTTCGCGCGCGAAGTCGCGCGTGTCACTTTCGTAAGCTGAATTTTTTCAGAAACTGCTAAATCGTGAAAAATGCGATTCTTTGCGAACAACTTTGTCCGTGAAGTAGGTGAAGTACAGGTTAGGTGTAAAGGTGAGTTTGCTTTTGTTCGTAAAATTTTGATAAAATAGAAAATTTATTATCGCGCCGAGAAATCTCGCACTCTCTCTCTCTCTCTCTCTCTCCCTTCCTCCCTTCCTCTCCCCGTTCACAGAAAGAAAGAGAGAGAGAGAGAGAGAGAGAGAGAGAGAGAGAGAGAGAGAGCCGTAAAGTATGTTGCGAACGTGATGTGACCTTTTAATGACCACACCTCCCGTAATGGCCGTGTAAATAACACGTACGGCAGTCCACTTGTGTGACAACGAACGTGTCGTACATTTCCACGAATATCCATTTTCATCGTGCCAGATTTCATGCGCCACAACCGGTCGCGCGTAGCCGCGTGCGCGCTCGTGCAAACGCACGTGTCATTACAAAACATATTTCAACAATATATACATATACGTGCATGTGTGCGCGCGCGAGAGGAAGAGGAGGAAAAGGGAGGAAATAGGCCGACGAGAGGGCATATGGGACCTCGGCAAACTAGGTGTAAAATTTATTCCTGTCTGCGTTGTGTGTTGGTTCAATCGACGCGGGAGTAATATGCGTCATTAATCATCGCGTAATGATGCGGCATTAAAAGAAACAATTTGCCCCCTGGATATTAATTAAATGAGCATTGTTCCGCGCGAATTTATTTACGACCGCGCGATTTTAATGATGATTTACCGTTTGAGGGAGTACGATCCATCCCAATTGTAACCGCCGACGGTTACAAGTAACTTATTCTCACGTCTGTAAAAATCGCTCACACATGGACACGTGCTTAAACGAATATCCAAATGTTTTTGGAACTATTTGGTTTTTCGTACGTAAGTTTTTTTTTCTCTCTCTCTCTCGTTCGATTAAATAATTCATGTAATTACGTTGTAAGAGCTTGTCGTGCAAGTTTCTTGTATCGGAATTTATATGCGCGAGTGCGGGACCAATCGACGAAATCTGTTAAAAAAAGTATTCGGAGCTTGAACTAGTCTGAAGTCGCGCGATATTTCCGCGATATTCTTCCGAGGGGCACAAGTCGGTAGATAAAGTTCACGCTTTCGTTTGTGGTTTTCGTTTCGGCTTATTTCTTGCGGGATGTATGCGCGATCAGCGGCGGTAAATCGTAAACGTCGCGCGCCCTTGTTCGCTCCCCGTCGCCGCAAAGTGTGTCGCATGTCGCAATGAAATCCCAGAAGACATCGGGTCTGTTTCAGTCGTCGGGACGACATCATTCCGTTACGGTGGAATACCTTGTTGTGCGTCCCACGTGAGATACATTGTGTTGTCTCGTTAACGCGTTATCCGTCGTGAGAAATCGGTTGAAAATCCTTCCTGTATTACGCGTTCGTCTAATATAAATCACTCCGCGCGCTATTGTTTGAGATTGTAAAGGCGGACAACATACGCGAAGAACACACGTGACATATGTGAAGAATAACTGATGGCAGATAGAAAAATAACAATATGATATAGTTTTAATTGATACTTTTATTTTTGTGCATATTAAAGTTAATTTTTGAGTCAGAGCGTGTAACATATAAATTTTTAAGTTCTAATTATATGCACAAAGAATATAAGTATGTGAACTCGTTATTGTTTTGTTTATACAACACGCCAGAAAACATTGAAACGCTGTAATTATTGTGAACATTTTTGATGTTGCGCATACACACGCGAAAATTTACTCTGGGTGTGCCACTTGATGCAACAAAGCGGAATTCATTTAAATTTTATAACACCGCTCTGTCTATATTAGATTTACATGTTCCGCGCTTGTTAATCCGCCATTATTAATTCAATTCTCGAAGAACAAAGAGATTCTATTTAATCGACTGCTGTGCGCAAGAAATTGGAAATAATTGCAAAATGTTTCGCTGCGCGCGGTTATTTGAAACAGTTGTATATTTAATGACTCGTAAAGTTCGTCAACATTTCGTAAAATTAGCCAAACAAATTTCGAATTTTTATTCTGTGATATATTAAGCTTATAAATATTGTAATCGACTGTTATATTTGCAAAATGTGTCTTTGCATTAAATTCGAATAAATTTTCGAAAGAAAATGCTCATTGCATCAACAGTAGCGTAATTACGTTAGTGTGTCGACAAAATATTTCTGTACGTTACAACTATCGGCTTATAAAGGAATAAATACATTTAGTATATATTAATATGAAAATTTATATTAAACTGCATGTCATACTGGATAATTATGAAAGTAATGGAAAGTTCTACTGACGCGAAAGAAGCAACGAGCTTCAAACGCATCCACACCCCGTTGGGAAACTTTGTTAATTAATCTCCCTCTGATACATCATATCGTATTTTAACTCTCGCAAGCGCCATATTGCTGAACACGTGCTCTCTCTCTCTCTCTCTCTCTCTCTCTCTCTCTCTCTCTCTCTCTCTCTCTCTCTCTATGGCTCTTTGGCGTTTTAAATCAATCTTTCATTTTTGTGCGTAAAACTAAAGATTAAACGAGACAAAACAAATAAAATGTATATAACAATTGCGGAAGTTTTTATCATCAATTTTTTTTCTAAAGTGGCTTTGTTTTTTTTTTTTATTTTTTTTCATTTACATCACGGTTTAATCGAATTATCTTTTTAGCGCTTTTTTGCATTTTTCGAATTTCAACAACCTCTCAAACATTTAGCAAATGCGAGGTTTTTAAATTCTGCATGCGCATATGCATTAAATGTATAAAACCAAATTTACTTCTCTATCCCCGACATAAAAATGATGCCTCTGTTAAATTTAAAACAACTACTATTATCATTATTAGGAAATTTTTTATGCACCAGCTTTTTTTCTCATTGTTCTTTCACTAGTTGGATTAACTTTTTGTTATTTTATTTTTTAAATCATTGTTTGTAAAATGTTAAATATGTTACTTTAAATTCGTAAATATTTATAATATATAAGTGTGCGTTTTAAACATATTTCTCATTTGTTCTGAAAAAATTTCGCTCTGATTTAGCTTTCAACAAATATTTTATACATAACGGCGTCGCGGTTTATACGTTTACTTTCAATCACGGGTGAGAAAACGAATAGTAGTTCGCTGAGAGACGCTTTCTCTCTTTGTTCGTATAGAAGTGCGAACTGTCTTCAAAACGAAGTGAAGTCCGCGCGAAAGTTCGTGAAGCGCGAACGAGCCGCCGACTTTTCGAGGGATCAAAAGTTTGCGGCGCCGCCGCCGCGGCAAAAATTTCCCATCGTTGAAAGAGCGAAGCTTTTACGATGTAACGGGGGCAGTTCGTCGAAATGGTTTGCCGTGTCTCGTCGGACGGCGCGATTCGTTCTGCGATACATGCCACCCCTTGTTTGTCGGCCGAGCGAACAATCGACGGTTGTGCGGAACGAAGTTTATACTGCAAACACGCAGACCTCGCATTAAAGGGGTACGTCTGTTTGGTATATTTCGAAGAACATCTGGTTTTTGTTTTACATGAAAAACGCGCGATTATATTTGCGTTTTTTTTTTTATGCGAAACGCTTGTAAGATAAAACGTTTGCGATCATATCTTTTGTACACGCAATTAGGAAAGTAATAAATGACGCGTGTTATTTAAATAAAACTAAGCGCGGGACTCGCTATTATCGCGAATAGCGAAGAGAATACGCTCTTCGGTTCGCTTTGTTTGATATTTCGATAAAGTATACGGTTTCGCGAGTTTTTTTTACGTTTGCTCGCAGTTTTCGCTGATTGTCGAGAAACATCTAATTCAAACAGATATACCCTCGCAAGTATCGCTGAATAAATAATCGCGCCGGTTTCGCGTCCGGACTTGCTTCGTTATTAAATGCCTGAGCGATGGGCAATTAGAAGAAATTTTTCGCGAGAGACGATTATTCTCCTCACGGTTCTCTCTCTCTCTCTCTCTCTCTCGCCACGGCGCATTTACCTTCTTGTTTTTTTTTTCTTCTCGTGTTTCGCGATAAAAAATCGGTTGAGCGATCGGTTGCTGGCGTGTTTGCGCTGCGCGGAAATTCTTGCGTAAGTCTTGTCTCTCTCTTTTTCTTTCTGTTCTCATACTCCGATAAAAATATTTCTTACACACTCGCTCTATCGCGATCTAAACCGAACGCTTTTTATTCCGATGGATCTTTACTCGGGCTCGGTCTCTCGGGCCAAGATTGATGAAATGGCGAACTGTCGACTCGGAAAAACCGGTTTTCGAGAAGGACAGCCTCTCTTGAAATTTACTCTTGCCTTTTCTCTCGCGCTCTCTTTCTCTCTCTCTTTCTCTCTATTTCCATGCTCGTGTCTTCTTTTAATTTTCGTCTCGATTCGAAGGAAAGTGCACGTTCGTCTTTCGTGCCGGCGAGGCGCGCGCAAAAGCAGCTCGAGACGAGATGTGAGGGCAATTAATCTATCATCATTACCGGAGTTGTATTTTTTCTCACGATCTCTCTAATGGAGAGAAGACAGAACTGCGCGCGATGGTTTCCCGCAATTCGTGGTTGAAAAAAAAAAAAAAAGGACTTTTGATATATAAGAGCAAAAACTTTTTTAGCGTGACGCGCGAAATAACGAGAAACGAACGCGATACGTACGCGATAATGATATTTAAATCCGCACGAGCGGGGTGTATTAAATTTAAAATTAACTAACGCACGCTCGCTTGTTCTCTTTTGTTGCAGGAGACGAGATCCTCTACCGGGACGAAAGTGGCAATTTGCTGATCTTCAATGCCAGCTCGACCACATCCAGAATTCTCTTGGACTCGAACAATCCCGTAAGTTTTCTACACTCGTCCCTTTTTTTGCACACGTCAGGTGTATAAAAGTCTCCTTCCCTCTCTCTCTCTCTCCCGAGTTCTTCAAAAGTTTGCATGAAATCGAAAAGAATTTTTGTCACCCTCTCTTTTTTTCTCACGCTGTCACACATGTTTTTGTATAACAATGTTATTGACAGTAATAATAACAGAGAGAGAAAGAGAGAGAGAGAGAGAGAGGGAAATGTAAATTAAAGTTCGCGCTCGAAGCGAAATTTGCGATTAATGAGGTATTAATTAGACGAACGAAAAATACCGCACCGAGCGCGCCGGCGGTGATTATGTTACGCGCGGTACATAATTGTTGGTATTCAAAATACGAAATTTAATAATTTATCGTCATCAGTCACCTGGCGAATTAATGCGCTACTCGTGTGTTTTCCACTGGAAAATGCAATTTGGAAAATGTGTGTATTTCGCACCGAAAATATTTTTGCGCGCGCATACCTCTCTTTCTCGCTTTGGCGTGTGTGTGTGTGTGTGTGTGTATGCGGTTATATTGCATTAACATGCGTGCAATTAAATAGAAACCGCGGGACGACTATAGTCGGGAATACGAATTAATTGCTCGGTTCCCGGCGTCGCGTCGGCGCGCTTTACTTCCGAAATCGCAGATAACGACCGAAATGCGCCGAATGCAACGAAAGCGCCATATCTCTCGTACGTGTCACCCTTCTCCCTCTACCGTTCTCTCTACCGCGTGTTTCTTTTTCGTTCTAATTTATATGTGTGTATATATCCCCGAGATCAATTAAATTGTTCCGGACCGCGCGTATAATACGTGTACGCGGAAAAACCGGAAGAGAGAGAGAAGAGCGGGCGCGGATCGAATGCGAAAGCAGTTTCGCGAAATCGGAAAAGAGGGGACGAGCGAGAAATTATTATTTCTCGTTTGCGATGCAAACCTCTCCCTACTCTGCACGCATCGGCGACGCGCCATCGTTATATTCCCGCAGCCGAAGAGGATCGCCGGCGGTACGGTAATTGCTCGTTATCTTTCACGTTCTGACGCGTGCAATCTATCGTCGACGATCTCTCGTTCGTGCGCGAAATCTCTCTCTCTCTCTCTCTCTCTCGTTGTAAAATGATTCATTACTACGACATCTGTAATGCGATAGCCATCTCTTCGAGATTTAACATATGCCTTTGGCAGAACTCGCGTGATTTATTCGCGCGGTTTGTATCGCACGGAAGCATTCTTTTTTTCGACGTGATAATTTTTACTTCAACGGTGTAAAAAAAATTTTTGTCGTCATCAAAGTTCTTTCTTTTGATCAAAGCGATCTCGCGGTGAGAGATCTCTTTTTGCATGTACATGGTTGTTCGAAGGAAACGTAATTTTTCTCGAAAATTACATTTTATAAATGGGAAAATGTTATAAAGAGCGCAAGAGAGAGAGAAAGAGAGCGCACGCGCGGTTCTCTTGTCCGAACGAAAATCTCATTCCTCTCGTCAGCTGCTGTGATTAGCAGACGAAGTAAGCTGATTCTATCAATTAAGCAGACCGAGGGAAAATGTGCTAAAGGGAAAACGGCCAACGGCACACGACAGAGACGTAGAGACGCGCTTCTCCGAAACTTTATTTTTAGCGTTGAACTTGCGCGTCTCTTTTCCTCACCTCGCACTCGAGTGTAAATGAAGTCTTCTCTTCGTTATGTTACTCGAAATCTCTCGGAAAGTGTTTCGAAAGCGCAATCTGACCTTTTCTTTCGCAGTTTCTGACGAATCTTATCAGAGCGTTCTCTCGCTGTTAGTCTGAAAGCTATTAGAGAGTTTATGACCCGTAAACTCTCGGAATTTTCACAAATTGCATTCGAAACAAGCAAAAGCTGGGATTGTTGCGAAAAAGGCGGCGGCGCTTGCTCAAAGAAAAACAAAAAAAAAAAAAAGATCGCCTTCGAGAAATTTTCCGCTTATCAACTCTCGGTAGAAAAGTGAGGAGGGAACAATTTGAAAATAAAATTTCAACGCACGTCGTTCGGTTTCGTTATCTCGACGAGACGACGAGATTGGTCTTTGAATTTTTACGCTCGAAGATGCGTATTGCGATATGTGTGAGTGTAAAAATTTTGTTTGTTTCGACGAGTAACAAGTTTATCGCGCACGTGTCAAGCTGTCCCGGCGGAATACTTCAAAATTAGTTCGGAAAGTTGCTAATAGAATCATAACTTTATCCGCGTAACATAATAAAACTGTCAGTGTCACCTTGTTTTTATGCCAATATTGTACGCGATCTTCTTTTTTTTTTTTTTTT